AAAAAAAAAAAAAAAGAAAGAAATCATCCCTGCTGTCCTACACCGAAGAGGCTGGGCGGGAACCTAGATAACTGAAGTACAATGCTAGACGTACCGAGAGAGAGGTGAGAAGAGAGGCCCAGGAAAGGCCAAGGGAAATCTGAAGGAAGTACCCCCTGAACCAGCCTTGGACCCGGTGGGGCGCTCTGGGCAGGAGATCAGCATGTACCAGCTCACAAGGGCATGAGAAATCACAGGTTTGGTATTTTCACAGGGAGTGTCTTTGCTGCAAGTGTTTTCACCACATAACTATTTGCTGTAAAGCCATTTGGCCGTCAAAGATAAAATCACAAAATATAAAAGAGGGACATTCATTAAAAAGGACATAATAAAACATGAGAAATGAATAACACAATTAGAAAGCTATTGTAAAACACAAAATAATTGAGTACATTTCAAATGTGTGGAGATTCATGGCAATTATATGCAAATAACTGATTATATTTCATGGATTGTACCTAAGCACTTGTCTCCAAAGTCTCTCGTTCATAGAATTATACATTTTTTTTCCTTTTTGCTTGCTGATGGGTCTCCTCATTCTTTTTTTACTAAAGTTTCTTCCTCATGAAGAGAGGTGGACTTCAAGGGGGCCTGGCTGGCTCAGGCAGTGGAGCTTGCAACTCTTGATCTCAGGGTCATGTTAGGTGTAGAGATGACTTAAAAATAAAATCTTAAAAATATATAAATAAATAAAATAAAAATAAAAGAGAGGTATAGTTTCCAAATACTAGGATGCATATTTGTAACAGAACTTTGTACTACATCGTGAAGACATATTGCCTTCTACGCTGTTGTTTGTTCTTGGCGTATTTTAACAGGTCCATTGATAGCTGTTCCCAGTTCTATGGGAAATGTGGGTTCAAAACTCTGCACCACTGTATAGAGCATCATGAGGGCTAAGATTTCTATAATATAAAAGTGAAGCACATGTCAATGGAGAAATGAAACCACACTCAACCAGTTGATAAAACCAACAAACTGTCAACCGGTTATTTAAACTTTCATGGCAAAATTGCCCTTTGGCCTATTAGTTATGCAGTGAAAATGCTTACAGCAAAGATGTTCAGGGCAAAACTACCTAGAACCAAGAAATCAATGCATTCTGGGCATGCGCAGTTACAGGAACGAGACTTGGGGCCAGAGGGGGCAGGCAGGCCGGGTAGGAAGTGCCACAAACAGTGGGCCTTGCCTGGGGTGCTGACAAGCTGGACCGGCCTGAGGGTATTTGGGGGGGGTGGTGACAGGATGACACCTGAGCTTTAGAAAGATCACTATGGGCTGGAGAGAGAGAAACAGGAGGCCTGTAAACATCCTGGACCATGGTTCAGGTGAAAGCCCAGGAGGCCTGTGGTAGGGCAGTCACGGAGGGATTGGGGGAAGGGGTAGACTTGAGTGGATGAGAAAGGACTTGTTTTCTGGGTGATGAAAATGTTCTGGAACTAGACAGTGGAGATGTTTGCACACCATTATGAATATACTGTAATTAGTAGCAAAATTTGATGTATGTATTTCATGACAATAAAGAAAAGACTTGTGTGCTTGGATATGGGGGTTGAGGCAAAGAGTGGAAGTTTCCTGGGTTAGGTACCCAGGAGGGTCTGGGTGCTGCCGACCGAAGTAGAGAACGCCAGAAAAAGATGAAGGACGGGGACAAAGTCCCGATGGTGCCGCTGGGTTTGAGGGGCCCAAGGGACGGCTAGGAGGTGTCAGCCATTGGCTCCCCTGTGAAGCCTGACACTCAAGGGAGAGAACCAGGGCAGGTATGTGGAGGCATAGAGGAGTGTGTTGAACGCCAGAGGGGTTAAGACCATGGAGCCTGAAGAGACCAGGGAACGGGGTTCAGACCCTGGGAAAGTTCAAGTCTCCCCTGGGAGAAGGGGAAGAAGGTTCGTCAGAGGGGTAGGAGAACACCAAGGAAGAGAGTCTAGAAGGTCAAGGAAGGAGGCTTTGTGCAGAGGCAGCACAGGGGTCCGAAAGCTAAGGGCTGGGAGTGTTCGTGGCATTTGTTATTACAAGGTCCTTGATGACCCCTCAGCAAGAGGATTCCAATGGCAGGGAGGTGTGGGGGCTAAGGACTAAGGCCAGAGTAAGTGAGGGCAGACTGAGAGCTGGGGAAGCAGAGACAGCAACCATAAACCAGCCTTGAGAGAAGTTTGAGGAAGGGAGTGGATACACAGGGGGACACAAGATAATGGAGGGAGGTGGGTTGTTTGTGATTTTTCTTTTTCCTAAAAGAACAAGAGCTACCAATTGTGTTTGTAGACTGAGGAGAAAGAGCCAGAAGGGGGCGGGGGATAGAGATACTAAGAGTGGGGTAGGGGCTGAATAAATAATAGAGCGAGATGGGGTGGGAGTGCTGTTGAGTGATGGGCTGCCCCCCCACCTCCCCATCAGCCACGAGGGCTGACATTGCTGAAGCTGGGAGGGAAGCCGGGAGGATGGGTGGGAAGGCAGATAAGCCTGTAGCTGGGGCAGGGCGGGAAGTAGAGGGAGTTCCCTCCAGACAGCAGTGTTTTCTAGGTGAAGATGAAGTTGAGGTCATCTCCTGAGGCAGTAGGGCTAGGGTGGGGTGGGAGAGCCTGGGATAAAAGGAAGAGAAAAGGGCCAAGGCTGACCAAGGACCTCAACCACAGAGCCGGCAATGTGGTGGGGTCGTGCACATCAAACGTGTCATCAGGACCTTGTCCTGGCCCCCACACTGCTAACACCCAGTTGACCACACACAAGTACCTCATGGCTTCTGTGCCTCAGGTTCCTCAAGTGTAAAACAAGGTGGAGGCCTGAGGCCTGAGGAAGCAGTGGGAGAGTCTCCCTGCTCCAATGCTCCAAGTCCTGCAGTTCTGAGCCTGAACATACAAAGGCCTTTCTCCAGAAACCCTGGGAAGGGAGCCATTTACTTCCATGTGAGGTGGGGAAGGTGGGAGAGACTGGAGGTCCTGGGAAGCAGGCTGTGTGTTTGCAGGGCATGGTGTGGATGAGAGTGGGGTATGTGGGCAGCAGTGGACAGACGGGGCGGGGTGGGGGGGTTGGCACGCAGGGGCCATGATTGTGGAGGGCTAGGACCAGATGGTAAACTATCCTTAGTCATTGCATGCCGTGGTGGGTGAGCCACCTCCTCTTATCTCATCTTATCCTCAGACTGACTCTATGGGATCAATTCTCTTATCATCCCCATTTTACAGATTGGGAAAAAGGCTCAAAGAGGCCAGGTGAAAGCAGCTTTAAAGATCTGAGTTTGGGCTTCTGGCCTCAGACAGAGAGCCATCGTTCAGACAGCAGAGGTTCTAGTGCTGATGCCCTGCTAACTGGCTCTCACTTGGTCCAGTCGGTTATTTTTCTGAGGCAGAGACATCTTGTTAGGATGGCAGGAAGATAACAGATATCCGGCCTCCACTGCTTACTGTGGGGGTCAAATGCCCGCCAAAGCACATGGACGCTGGGGCAGGAGACCTGCAGACTGGCTTTGCTAGTAGCCACGCTAGCCTTCCCAATCCTGGAGCCACTGCTCAAAGCCTGGGCTCAGCAAACCAGCATCATCCACGTACATCATCTCCAAAGAGATGTACAACTGTCCACAAGCTGGTCACCCCCCTTCTTTTGTGGAGTGAAGTGACCTTTGATGAGGGGATCCTGTTCTGTGGGCTCTCCCCCATTTAGCCTCCAGACGCAGCCGAGCATCTTATCTTAAAGATTCAAAACTAGCTCCAAAGGGGATGATAAACCAAACTTTAAAGATAGGCAAAGCCCCCTTCCTGTGCACAGCACAAAATATTACAGATAGAATCATAGCTCCGCAGGTCAATGGGAAAGGAAATCCAGTATCTGTTTTAGATCACTTAGAAGACGAAATCATAACAACAATTTAAATTATGGTCTGTCCTCATGAATCTAACAAATTAATTACATCTTATTTGTGATTAAAAAACAATGGGGGATGGGGAGACTATGAAAATAAGAAATTTATGGTAAAACAACAAAAAATAAAATATGGAGCCACTCCTTTTTTTATCAGCTTCCAATCCAAACAAATAGCAATTCACTAGTTTTTAGAAAAAAATGTATGCGACTTCTAGAACATGCTGTTTAGAACTTGGCTTAGAACAAGTGTTTTATTCTAAAAGCCTTCCAAAAATGCCAGAAGGGAATAAACGTTAGCTCTCAATTGGAATATTTTTCTCAGTTGTCATAAACATTAAACCCAAGCAATTTGATGTGAGTTTTAAGAATCATGAAAAGACACGGCGAAGCTAGGTAAAATTGGTAACTTACAGTTTTCCTGTCCCTCAAGGCTTGGACCTGGAAAAGACAGAAGAAATACGTTGATTCCATTAGCTTCGATTCTCATGAAGTTTAAGTAATGTGGGAAGAGAATAAAAACTCACAAAGCAGAAGCATCAGCACAAGTCCTAGCCACATCTTGCCTTCTTGGGCCCACTCCAGCTGCATCTTGAGCGCCAAGACTTCGGGGCACTTAGTTCTGCCTTTGGGCCATGCCCCTGGGGCAGAAGACGCTTCCCCTGTGGCCCAGATGAACCTGCCCTGTGAAAGTAGAGAAACCACTCTGGTAACTTCTGGCGCCACAGAGAGACGGGCTATCCTACTAGTCAGGTAATGGCAGCCATTGCTGGAAACTGGAAACAATGAAGCATGGGCCAGCCTGATATCTCCTCAGGAAATGACTGGCCTTCCTGCGGGGCCACTGAACGCAGACTCTTTGTTTTAAAGGCACAAGTGACATTTGCCTCTAGTGCCCCTGACCCTCCTGTCTCACCTGGGTTTGGAGCCCCTTATCATGGCAGGGTGAGAGGGTTCTTCCCTCTTCCCAACCTCTACCCAAAGGGCTTCTCTCTTCGGACACCCAACAAGATGTCTCAATTTTTCCTGAGCGCATCACCCCCACTCCCCGCTGCCCAGGGGCCTCTCTCCACACAGCGTAAGTCTGGACCTCCTGTCTTTCCTGGCAATGCTACGGGACAGGGCTGACTTCTCCAGAAAATTGCAGGTTCGTCAGACAGACCGGCTGCCTTGGGGTAAACTCAGCTTGGAACCTGCTGTTCCTAGGAGGCTGTCCCTGGCTTCTGCAGTTGGTTTCAGGGTGGATAAAGGCAGCTCTGTGAGATATGCATGTTTTCTGGTGGCCCCATCCAGCCTGTACCTTTATTTTATTTTATTTTTTAGGTATGCTCCATGCTCGGTGTGGGGCTTGAACTCACGACCCTGGGATCAAGAGTCGCATGCTCTACGGACTGAGCCAACCAGGCAGCCCCAGCCTCTACCTTTAAATATACACAGAGTATATCAGGCCACAGGGAGCTTTCTGAGATATAAATCAGTTCCTTTCACTCCCTGGCTTGAAACCTTGTGATGGCTCCCCACTGTCCTCCACAGAAAGTCAGTTTACAATCCTCCACAATCCAGCCCTTGCTTACCTTTCCAGCCAGGTCTCTCAGCAATTCTTTCCTGGCCCCTACATTCTGATTGCTAGGATTTATAGTTCCCAGGACACATCACGTGTCTACGCCTTTGTCTATGTTGTTCCCCTGCCTGGAGGACTCTTCCCCTCTCCTTTTCTGGCCTATTCCTACCCATGCATCGTAACTCAGTTTAGGCATCCACTCTTCCAGAATTCTCTCCTGTCTCCCCCACACTGAGCTGCCCTTCCTCTGCATCCCCCTCTGCATTCCTCACCTCCCTAGCCTTCCTTCTGTGAGACACTTCCTATGGTGTGCCATAATGGCCTGTCCTCCCCCAAGTGGACTGCTGGCTGCATGGTAACAGGGACAGTGCCTGGTACCTAGTAGGTGGTCAAAAAACATTGGTAGAGGGGCGCCTGGGTGGGTTAAGCAACCAACTCTAGAGTTCAGCTCAGGTCACGGTCTCAGGATCATGAGATCGAACCCCTGCATCGGCTCGAGCGGGAGCCGGCTGTAGAGTCTGCTTGGGATTCTCTCTCTCCCTCTGCCCCTTCCCCCACCTGGAGAGTCCCCACCCTCTCTCTCTCTCTCTTTCAAAAAAAACAAAAACAAAAATACGTTAGTACAGTGGATGATTGGGTGAATGAAGATAAGTTAACAGTATTGTCTGAATTAGATTATTACTGCCTTGAGGTCAGAGAGCCGTGTTGTTTCTGAAACGCTACCCTCTGATACGGCCATGGGTAAAGCTAAGTCAGATTGGAACCGGGACAAATAGAAACCAGACTTCTCTGCCCTAGGGCAAATACCAAGAAGTGATGGCTTCCAGCTAGAGAACAACTCCTCTCTCTGATCTATGGTTCAGTGGAAGTTATGACAAGAGCTATTGAAGAGTCATGCAGCATAAAAGAACATTTTCTATTGTGTCATTTACTTTTGGTGTTTGGTATTCTCTGTTGCCCACTGTAAACTCTCTCCTTTAGCAACCTATCGGAAATCACCCCCACCCACCCACCAAATTTCTATTTGTCGAGAAAAAAGGAATACCATGAGGCCCTAAATAGATGTTGGCTTCAAAGATAACTTTCACCTACAGCAGACTAACCAACTTTGCTTCTCAAAGTGACGTTCAAGCAATGGTGGTAAATGCCCCACCCGATGCCCCTAAGTCCCAAAGTAAACTTCTAGGACTTAGTCATTGTTTCTTATACAATGCTAATCGTTTTAGAACACCATGAGAAAATAAAACTTCATTTCAAAATAAGTGTTAATATTTCAAAAGAAAAGCAGAAAAAAACTGTATCCCACCACTCACACCATGCACCAGGATAAATTCCAAAGGGACCAACCATCTGAAAGGACAAATGAAGCCATAGGAGTTCTATAAGAAAACGTGAAGGAATTCCTCATGACCCTGGAATGGCGAAGGCTGGTTTAACTCTGACTTAAAATCCAGAAATTATAAAAGACTGACAAATTATACTCCATGTAAAGAGAGTTCTCCCCTCCCCCCCAAAAAAAGTTCAGTCAAGAGAAAAAAATACAAACTGGAAAAAATATTTGCAATTTCTATCAGACAAAGAGCTAACCTCTCTAACATGTAAATTAATATGTAACCTCTCTAATATCCATCCCACAGCCACCATCCCTCATTGCAAACACTTACCTGCTTTCTGTTCTTATAGTTAAGTTTGCATTCCTAGAATTTTATAAAAACGGAATTATACAGTACATACTTTGCGGGGGGCATCTATCTTCTTTCAATCAGCGTCATCAATTATTAATTTTTTATTGTTGAGTATGAATGAATATATCACAGTTTGCTTATCATTATTTATTAATGAACATTTGAGTTGTTTCCAATTTTGAGCTCATAGAGAGAGCTGCTATGACCATGCCTTTGTATGGACGTACACTTTCATTTCTCCTGGGTAAATAATGGTATGGTAGGTGTATGTCTAACATTTCAAGAAACTGCCAAACTGTTTTCCAAAGCGGCTACAGCATCTTACACTCCCGCCAACGATGTCTGAGAGTTCCGGTGGCTCCACACGTTACCAGCTCGGGTGCTGGGGCTCTCCAAGCAACAGAGAGCCCAAACTGGAAGTTCCAGACAAGGCTTTTACTGGGCTTATGTTAGAGCTCCAGGGAGACAACACAAAGGGAAGGGTCCCTCCTGCTGGCTCTCTGAGCAAAGGCCAGGGAAAGATTGTCAAGAGGCTGAGGCAGGAAAGGAGTGGCTGGAACAGGTAAAGGGGGGCGGGGTGGAGATGCAGGAACTGGGGAGCACAGGCACTGGACAGGACGTGCTTTGTCATGCACCGCTCGTCTGGTTGGCATGTTAAATCTCCACCCAGGGCGTGATTTTTAGTCCTGTGATGAGGGGGAAAGTCGGTGAAAGGTCAGTGCTGGGGCCCTCCTGAGCACAGACTGGTTTGGTTCAGTCTTCACCAGTCTTGGTAGTGGAGTCCTCCTCCTGTGAACAGCCTGCATCCATGTTCCTGCAGGATTCGCACAGGGATTCAGCCATCAAGGGGCCCTGGAGGGACGCATCGGTGGCTCAGTGGGTTAAGCGTCTACCTTCAGCTCAGGTCATGATCCTGGGGTCCTGGGATGGAGACCCTAGTGGGACTCCCTGCTCAGCGGGGAGCCTGCTTCTCCCTCTGCCCCTCCCCCTGCTCCTGCTCTCTCTCTCTCTCTCTCTCTCTGACAAATAAATAAAATCTTAAAAAAATAAACAAAAAAAGGAACGCTGGACTTTTGGGGTCTGGGTTGAGGGCTTGGAGTCCTGTCCCTTGGTCTGTCTCAATTTGAGCTATTCTAGGCCCCTTGACCTTCCCTTATGAATTTTAAAATCAATTTCTCAATTCCTACCAAAAAAAAAAAAAAAAAGCCTTCTGAGATTTTGACTGGAGTTGCACTGAATCTGCAAACCAGTTTGGGGAGAAGTGACATTTTAACTCGACCGAGAGTATTCCGGCCCAGTGACACAGCATCTCTCTCCATAAACAACAATGTTGTATAGTTTTAGTGTACTTTTCCTTAGAAACCTTGTGTCTCTTTTAGTTTTTTTAAGTCATGTTAACGTACTACCTATTAAAAATCAAATTAGGAAATTAAATTCTAAAATGAAAGCTGTGCCTCGGGTGTTAGAAATCATTTGGAATGTCTGTTGTGTCCACCCCACGGCCCGGGAGCCAAGTCCACACGAGGCTGATCCTTCACGGGAGAGCCCCACCCCACCCCCCATGGGTCTATCTTCCTCTCTCTTTCTGCGGGAACCCCTCTTTCTTGCTCTCAAGGCAATCTCTTCCTCCTCTCTTGCCCCTGGCTGTGATGTAAGAACAGAAATGTATATCCTCCCTCATTTATTTTATTCATTGAAAAGATGATCAGGCTCCTTACCCTTTGTGAAGTATGAATGTCTTAATAAAAATTAAAAATGTATAAACAGAAGGTTTTCTAATTCACTTTTTAATAAAAATCATAAATTGAGTGGCTTTTTATATGTGTGTGGCCCTCACATAGCTCTCCCCTTCCTGCCCTTTGTCCTTAGTGGACTCCTTAATAGAAAAAAAAAAAACAAAAGAAAGAAAGAAAGAAGTTCTTCAAATGATTTTGCTCCCTTCTTCCTATTCTTGGTGAGAGGGAATTGAAGGAGAACAGAGCGGTTTCTGCATGCTGTCTTCTGCCTTCCAACGCCAGGGAAGTCACACAAATCTGGAACACAGCAATTCATTAACCGCAGGAAGAAACTGCTGTAATAAACCTCAGGAAGTGCTTTTTCTGAGAAGCCAGGGGTGGGGTCGGGAAAGAGTTGGGGAGGAGGCAGCAGGTCCGAGAGCTACAGCACCAGGCAGGGCTGACCACCCATCTCTTTCATGACCACGGTGACAGGCAAGAAGGCACTGACCATTCCCCCAGCCGGTGGCTACAGCTCTGCCTCAGGAACCTTGGTGAGTCCAGGAGCAGGACTAAGCCCCCATTCACTGAATTTGGAAGTCACCGCAATGGAAGACTAAGCCTGGTGTTCCAGTCCCTTCTCTGCAGTTTAATAGCTTCCATGTTTTGAGGTTCACTTTCCTTGCCTGTAAAATGCGGATAATATGCCCATTCTACCCATCTCACAGGCTTGTTACGAAGATCAAAGCACAGGTAACCAGCAGGGCACACTGAGAACACAGTAACAACAGTTAGAGGTCTGGTTTGGCCCCCAGCTCACCTGATCTGAATTACTGCTCTGGCAACTCAACTCAAT